CCAAATGTTTTTCAAAATTTTCAATAAAAACTTATGGCTTCTATCTGTGTACATATATTTATAAATTAAGACACTTCTTTTCACATCAACGGATGTAATGCTAGCATATTTTAAATTAAAAAAAAATATTTGGTTCCAAATCCAGTTCTTCGCAAAAATTACCAACAATAATGTCAGCTACCTCAGTAAGCTACTGAGGACCTCAAAGGTAAGAGATTGCTTAAATTTTATTGTAAGGATTGTCAGAATGGGATAAAGCTTATTCCTAAATTGCTTGCGAAAATTGATCATATGGAGTTAGAAATCAAACATTAAAAAAATATATCAGATTTTGTTGACAGTAATGACCCTAACACTAAGGAAGACAAAGAAGAAATAATATGTGAGATGATTGAGCGGCAGAGTCGGGCTTCTAACATAATTGTCTGTAACGTGAATGGATCAAAAATGAAAACGCAAGTAGAACGTGATTCTGAAGATGCAACAGTTATTGGGAAAATATTGAATAATTTTAATATTGACAAAAATAATTTAAAAGTGTTTCGCTTGGGAAGATATATGGGAAGCAAGAGTAGGCCGCTCAAAGAAGATGCCAAATATGTTCTTAAGAATAAACAATTAATTTCTATTCCAAGCATCAGAATATTTTGGTGATCAAACGAAGGCTCAACAGGACTATTTTAAACCGATAAAAATAAACTACAAACTTTGATTGATAACGGTGATACTACCAAAAATATTAGATATATAAATAATAAACCAACTATCGTTTCAAAATCCATTCAAAAAAACATTTTGTAAACCCTAATATACCTTTCAACTCCGATATAATTTATCTCAACGCCCAAAGCATGGTAAAAAATAGAGACCAAATCCAATAATCCATAATTTGCTATAACCCCAAAATAATCTTATTGAGTGAAACTAGGACTACATCAGATATTGAAGTAAAACTTGAAAATTATTGTCATATTCGTTGTGACTCAGAGAGTAGATACACTGGAGGTGTTATGCTATACATCAACAAACATTATAATTTTTCAAATTTTAAAACATTTCAATTGCGTAATAATTATTGGTGCAAAATAATAAAAGTTGATGTTAAATCCATGGTTTACTTGATGGGGTGTTTATACCATTCACCATCCAGTTCTGATGCTCAATTTATTGAAGATTTTGAAGAAATATGTGATGCCTCATTTACTAAAATCTACCGTTGTGTGTTAGTTGGTATTTTAATATTGACTTGTTGGCTAGTAATTTCTATGGTGAAAAAATTAAAAAGTTGTTTTCGGCTTATGGGGTAAAACAATATATTAGTGATCCTACCCGTATTACTGACACTAGTAACACTTTGGTAGATTATGTACTTTCTAATCAAAATAATATAAATGCTTGTGTTCACGATTGTCCAAAAATTACTGAACATTCTGTTGTTTCAGTAAATATCTCCAATAATAATAGTTATAATATATCTGATGGTAATATATCCAAGTTTAGAAATGTATGTAATCAAAACTTAGATAGAATCCAAACTAATCTTATCATGTGTCACTTTAATTTAGATTCTGTTGATGTTAATATCATTTACCAGGAAATTTTACAAAATTGTGAAAATGTAATCAATGGCATAATACCAATTGTAAAATGCCAGTTTCAATCAAAATTACCTTGGTTTGATTATGAGGTGTTTAAACAAATTAAACAACGTGATAGGGCTTATAATAAAGATTTTAAAAAATGTATTGATGTCATTGAAAAGCAACATAAATGCGCAAGGGGATCTTACCCGATTATCAAACTATCAACATCAACATTTTATCACATTTGTGGTTAAGTATATTTGTTTTGTTGTGATTTTTATAATTAATGGAAAGTAGTAGAAAACGATTTCGCTTCAGCACTGAAAATGATTTGTTTTTGTTGAAGGAAGTCGTAGGCCAGAACCCTTAAGATTATTCAGAAATGTGGAATTTAATCCAAAAGAAAAAAGATTTTTACATTGTATAGCAGACATGATATAAATTAAAGCGGCCGTATATTCGTGCAAGATGTGGAGAAGAAGCGCATTTTCTATGTCCTCGTTTTCTTCATCATCAATAAAGACACCTACATTTATTATTGCGTCCATCTCCAAAATTAAAAATTGTTGAAAAAATATTTATTATTTATTTTGAATATCCAAAATAGGGTTAAGTGACAAGGACAATACTGGCACTGACAACTTATTAGCTTATCACTAATTCGATGAGGGTAACACCATCGTTACGTTACGTGCAGAACTTTAACTCTCAATTTAACCTTTATCTTCTTCGACACGTTAGTTCTTTACGTATAGGGAGATACGTTACGTTAGGTAGTTACAAAAACTCCCTAATGTATTTTCTGAGAACATGTCAACAGCGCTTTGCATGCTATGCCAACCATAAGGTGGTCTCAACACGTAGAGTCTACCAGCAAATCTCAACTTCATTCGCTATCCTTTTTTGCGGGTCAGCTGGTAGTGTGATTTTTGCTCCCGAAAGTAATTATATTGTTCCTCGCATCGACCGAAATTATTCGGTTGTGCATTGAGTTAGTATTTTGATATTGACGGTAAGTAAAGCTTAGGTTTTTTTGCATGTAATTGCGTAGCGGTATAATCTTTATTTTATCAAATTTGGAAAAATATCACTTTGGTGAAATTGCACCTAGGGGGTATAGAGAGACAATCCTTAGTGGGGCAGACTGAGACGCGTCTCACTGTACCTCACCGAGGACGTTAGTTGGATAATACAAACTCATACTATTTGTTTCTTTTTTTTTGTAGATTATGGCAAGGAATAGAAAAAGATAGACTAGCAGCTGAAAAAGATAGACTAGATAGAAAAGCAGCTGAACTGAAGGTGGTGTCATTTCAGTCTTTAGAAAGTTAAATTGTAAAGGAAATGAGGATCAATTAGGTTTCGCGTAAGAGATTTTATTTTTTCAATAAACAATATTCTTTCTATTTCAGATACGTGAAAAGACAAAGAAATAACCCTGATATCGAAGTAAAAATGAGACCTTACATTAGCAGAATACCTCGAAATGTGCTCAAAAATGAACTAAGGCATAATAACTCTTGGATGTCGGCGTTTAGCAAAATGAAATGGCTAAAAAAAAATAATATTTTGATTCCGAATAGTTGCTCAAAAAGTAGATCTGTCGGCTTAGAATGGATGAGAGGATTTTTAAAACGATCACTCAACTTGAGCATCAGACAACCAGACAAGGATGTAGTCTCTCGCGTGCTACATCTTTCAATAAACATAATGTCTTAATTTTCTTTGATAAATTGCACAATTTCTTAATCAGGCACAAATGCTTTGCCGTTGGCTCTAGAATATGAAATCTAGATGAAACTGGGACGAGAACTGTGCAGAAATAAAAAAAAAAAGTTATCGCTTGCCAATGCCAAGGAGTCAAATAAGTGAGTCAAGTAACTAGTGCTGAAATAGGGTCGTTAATAACGACTTACTGCTTCATAAGTGCTTTAGGAAACACAATTTCACCAGATTTTATATTTCCTAGGGCTCATTTTAAATCGTATATGCTTCTTAATGTGCCAACTGGTAGTTTGGGACTTGCAAAATCTTCTGACTGGGTGAACAGCGAGTTGTTTCTGGAAGTTATGCGTCATTTCATAAAAATTCCTTAATCGAAAATCCAACATTTCTGTTGTTCGATAACCACGGAAGTCATCTTTCAATCGAATGAGTGTATTTAGCCAAATTAAACTGAGTTACTATTTTAACCGTTCGCTCTATTTCAGTACTAAACTACAACCATTAGTTGACATTCCAGAAAAATTAAACTTCAGAACTCCGAAAAACGCAAAGCTAGAGCTAAGATAGTAAAAAAACGATTTATCGAATCCAAAATTAGTTCTTTAAGTCACCAAGCAGAATCTCTGTACAACTAAACTGAATATGATATCGACCTTAATGTTCCAATCACAGGATTTGAAGAACTGGATAGAAATACAGCCATTGATGACTATATTCTTGTAAAGTTCGCAATTAAAAAGTCAGTAAAATATTTTGGTGGAAAAATTTTGACTAATTTTTCCAATGATTTCGAATATGAGATCAATTATCTGAGAAGAAAAAATAAATGGAACAAGTTCTTTGATCCAAACGTTCCTGAATTTGCTAGTGTTTTATTGCAAGACATAGTAATGATTTTACCTGTACCAGTACTATATAGAAAAATAAAGAGGCATAATAATGGTGTTTAGTTTAAAGTCAATTTTGGTGCTCTACATGTTCATTGAACGATGTCTCGTTGTGGACCACTTTGTATCTCAGTGTGGACCACAATGTAACCACTTTGTAACGTCAAAAATAATTTTTTTTACACTTACGTTTTCAAATTCAAATCTATTTCTGTTGTGTATTTTTGTAAAATAAAGGCCAATTTACAGGATTATTTTGTTTGTTTTCAATATATATATATATATATATATATATATATATATATATATATATATATATATATATATATATATATATATATAGAAAAAGTTGTGAAAAAATCTCGAATGACTAAAATCCGTCTCACTGTGGACCACTCTCCCCTATTGGTATTAAAATTTAATTATATTATATTATATAATTATTTATATACAGCGTTACGCAATTGAACTGTTACCAACTTCACATTGATATATCTGGCAAATCGATAATGACAGCTACGTCAAAGTTGGCCTGATAATACTTCAGTATGTTTATAAGCCGTCAAAAGCATTTGCATTTAATTTTTATACATACAACAAAAGTTATTCGCAATGGAATTTAAACGTAATAGTGTGATTGCATTATATTTGGCTGTAAAATCATAACCAGCTATTGTTCGTCAGCTCAAACACCTCAAAGTGAATAAAATGTTTGTGTATCGCACCATAACTCGTTATAATGATACTGATAGCATTGCCAAACGCTATGGTGGTGGACGAAAAAAAACAGTAACATCACCTGAAAATGGTTCTCAAAGTGAAGGCTCGACTTAAGCGAAATCCACGTAGTAGTGGTAATCAAATGGTCACAGAACTGAAAATATCCCAGCGAAGCATGCAACGAATATTGAAAAAGGAGCTCAAGGTCAAGCCTTACAAGTTCCAAAAAGCACACAATCTTGCACCAAAGCAAAAAAAAGTTCAGCTTGAAAGAGCAAAGGAGTTTTTATGCCTGCGCGAACGTGGCGAATTTCCGAACATAGTGTTCTCTGATAAGAAAACCTTCCCTATAGAGCAGTTCATAAACTCTCAAAATGATCGTGTTTACTTGACCGAACGTACCTACAAAAGTTTGAGCTTACGAGCGGCCACCCGAAGTAATTTCCATGGGCAGCTGTATCTGCCGATACACGCTGTCCAATCGTTTTTATTGAATCTGGTGTCAAAATCAATGCAACTTATTATCGGGAAAATGTTTTACAAGCTGCTTTAAAGCCGTGTGCACGCAAACATTTCGGTTGTAGACCATGGACGTTCCAACAAGACTCGACACCGTCTCATAAAGCTAGTGTGAACCAAAAATGGTTAAAAAAAAATGTTCCACACTTCATTTTATCCACACAATGGCTTTCGAATTCGCCAGATGCAAATCCGATGGACTATTGCATCTGGTCCATTTTGTAAAGCAAAGTAAGGACTAAAAAATATGCCAGTATGGATGTGCTGAAGAAAGCAATTATACGTAAATGGGCCAAAATACCAGATCACATTCGCGCAACATACAACTCGTTTTTTGATTGTTTGAAGGCCATAGTCAAGGCAAAAGATAGTCACATCGACCTAAACTGAGTGGCTTCTGAAATTTTGATTATTTTCACACATTTTTGTCATTTGAATCAATAAAAATAATTTCACACAAAAAAATTATAGTCATTTGAATAGGTAACAGTTCAATTGCGTAACCCTGTATTATTCCCGTTTTATTAACGTTAATTTAATTAAAATATTTTAAATATCATATTGTAACTTCCGAAACCTTTTTTGGATGGTGCTAGAAAGGTCACCAATGGAGACACTGCGGACGGCAGTCAAATGGTTGGTGGAGAGCGAGTCGTGGGTTCGAAACTAGCTTTTGGAACCGGAGATGGGTCCAACGGAAGTAAGTAAAAATAGGACAAGATAAGATATATTAGAAAAGATACAGACTTAAACAAAAAAATAGATGGGTAAAATTACCAAAGATAAGATAGAAACAGGGCGCCACTTAACTTTTTGGGATTAAAGGGAAAAATTAAGAAACTCTAGAGAAGAAAAGACACAGGAAAAATATTTAGGTTCAGGGACCAAACCCAAGAAAAGATATTAACAGTTAATTATTAAATAAATTTGGTCAACACTCTACATAAATAAATATATTATATTATTCGTTATAATTATTTATTAGAAGTTACTGATAACTTATTGAAAGTTCGTATGAGAAGATTAAATGTTCTTTAAATTGAAGGCAAAATCAGTAGTTAATCCTAACTACAGGTGAAGAAATAATCGAATGCAGATTTGCCCAGATCGCTGAAGATAATACGATTACCATATTATTCTTCCAGATAATTGATTTCGAAAACTGACAGTAATTCTGCTACACTGCACTGAACCTATTATAATACTTTACTTGTATTGCACAATGAAGTTAATTAAATTAATGGTAGTTTATACCAATATGTAATCTAATATGGTATTAGATGAAGAAACTCAAATATATATATATATATATATATATATTAATATATATATATATATATATATATATATATATATATATATATATATATATATATATACATCTTTAAAGAAAAAATGCACAGAGAACGGTAAGGCAGTTCTTTACTTAAAGACAGCCTGGCCAGAAGTAATATTTTTTCTCTAAAAATATCACAAGCTCCCCAAAAACGGGTGGGGTACTTCCAATTAAAAATGACAGGCCAGTCTGTATCCATTTCTAGATAGACAAAAAGGTTCTAACGAATATCGAAAATAACGGTACCCTTCTAGCTAGCAACGTGATGAAAGATAAAATCTTTTGGATTAGGTTTTTACAGAAAATTACTACCAACGTGATTTCGACGATATTTAACAAATCTATTAAAAGGAACCCGGCTTGAAACCGGAAAAATGGGCGTATCAGCAACGGGGGTAAAAGAATTAAAAATTATTTAATATTTTAATTATAAAAAAAATGTTACAATATAAAATATAGAAAAGTATTCAATATTTATTACCTACTTACAATTTTGCCACAAACTGAACAAAAAACTGTCCATATCCATAGATAGCTATTTGTAAGGTTTAATCCAAGTAGCGACACTAGTTATTTTCGACATTTTAAAATTAAAATAGTTAACATAATTAACAAGCTAGACTGACGATGCTTAAGTTTTCACTTTCACTTTTGAGAACAAAATGATTTGTAAAAGGACAATGGTATTCATACCCCACGTTTCACGTACCCCCAAGTTCATAAACTTTTGAAACGCACTTTTATTACGGAATTATAATGGTTACCTGCTACAACAATACCAAGAATATTAGATAGTATTTATAGGTACTATCGGTAATATTAAAGATTGAAATAGTAAAATAAAATGAACGTTGTAATTTCCAGTTACTTAGTCAAAATATTATCTACGGAAAAACATTATTTAAAATCCGCAATTCGACATAAATTGAGGTTTATGTATTTTTGTATAAATATACAAAATCCCCAGATATTTGCATAAAATATGCAATACAGATCTCCATTTTGCATATGTGCAAATAATATATATAATATAATAATAAAGTATATTTATAATCTACAGTACATTATGTTATTCCATAATACACATTGAAAATTTCAAAAAAGCTAATCTAGCCAAGTAATAAGAGATTTTTTTGTTGTAGACTCACTACAAATGAATAAGTACTCCCCCAAAGGAATCGCAAGATTAATTTTTGTTGAATTAATGTTATCCGTAACGAAATTTTGCAAAAGATATAACTACAATTTAGAAAAAAGCGGAGCCCTGCTTTCTCAGTTTTATTTGACTCACGTTTTAACAACAAGCTCATCCGATCGGTCAACTGAAAAAGTTTACAATTACTTTAAGGAACTTGCTTTGGCGCATACGCTTCCAGATGTAAGTTGGTAATGATCGAATGATTATACTTTTTCGTTCCGTGTTGTGTGACATTATGATGGGTAATTAAATTTAATTTTGTATATAGGTGGAAAAATATATCGAAATCCTTTATCTTCTTTTTATATACACATGGCCCTGTCTGTTTTTCAATGTTCCTCCAGTAAGTTGTCGTTCCATCGTTTTCGTGGTCTTTCTACTAATCGTTTTCCTATTGGGGAACTGTCTCTTGCCGTCCTTACTACTCTTTTTCTTGTTATTCGGCTTATATGATGGTTCCATTCTACTCTTCTATTTCTTACCCAGTTCTTGATGTTCTCCACCTTGCATTTACGTCGTATATCTGTACTTCTAGCTCTGTCCCATAGTGTCTTACCATAAATTTTTCAAGTGTTTTCATCTCTGCTGTTTCTAACATCCTTTTTGTCCTCTCTGTATCAGGTCTTGTTTCATTCGCATATGTCATTGGTCTGATGACTGTTTTGTAAAGTCTGCCTTTCGTTTCTTTTCCGATATTTTTATTTCCCCATATTGTTTCATTTAGGAAGCCTGCGGCTCTGACCTTCTAGCTTCAATTTACATCTTAATAAATTTGCTGTTGTAACCATGCATTTTGTCTTTTTTGGGGAAATTAACATGTTAAATTTTCTCGCGGTTATATTAAATTGCTGCAGCATACGTTGTAAATCATCTTCAGTTAGTATTGCGTCGTCTGCATAGCAGATTATTTTGAGTTGTTTTTCTCCTATTTCGTATCCTTTTTTAGTTCTTACTTTTTTTATTATTCCATCCATAATCAGGTTGAACAATAGAGGAGACAATGAATCTCCCTGTTTTACCCCAGTGCCAGCTTCAATCGGGTCGGTTAGTTCTTCTTCTACTTTTACTTTTATTCTGTTGTTTTGGTAGATATTTTCAATCGTTTTGATTATTCCTAGAGGTAACTTTCTTGCGTACATTAAGTGGATAACGTCTTTTAATTTGACCATGCTCTATAAGGAGCATACTTTTCATATCTTATTAAAGTTATAAAGTAACAAATGATAGAAAATTAATCTGGAAGAAACACATTGAAAAGATATTAAAAAAGCCGAAAAAAAAGCCGATTACATATGAGGAGCTTTTTTACAAAACTGCATAAATCCACTTTTTTAAAATTTTCAGGAGACGTAAAAACGTGCTGCAGCTGTTGTACTAAAATTTTCGAAATTTCAGAGAACGTAATCAATTGAGGTTAGATTTAGAGAAATCAAACGTTAATTAAGATTATTTTTATTGATTTGCATTAACAAAATATCGCCATGTCTGTATTGGAGATATCGCGTTTTGTAAAAAAAGATGAGAGATATTAACTTTTGTCAAAGTAACAATATCTTTGAAATAAAAAATATTAAACGGTACATACTAGAACAAAAAAAAAACAAAAATGAGGAGTATCAAAAATTTAAATGTGAACATTTTTTGGCTCATCCTCCAAGCAATCACACTCGCCATCATGGTAGTTGTGGGTTTCTGGATCTGGATTACAAGTAACTTTGTGTTGAAGAGCATTAATGTACCAATGAAGATCAGGGATCTCTTTCCAATTTTGTCCAAAGTGGGTTTGCAATAAATGAAGGACGTCTTTTTTTTCTCTTCAGTCACGGATGTGATAGTTAATGAGATAGTCAATGCTTCTAAAAGTTTCTGTTCCACTATCGAACCTGTAGTTGGCGCAGCATTTTATTTTGGTTGAAATATGTCTGTCCCTTGTTTTGATTTTCTTAACAATGAGGCGTTTGGTTTGGCTGATTCCTTTTATTTTTTGATAAATCATTTCAAGACTTTTGATATCGTATACCACCCAGTCTTGTTCAAGTTTCTGTACAGAGCCAAACTCCTCGTAAATAGAAGCATACTCTTCGCTCGAGATGATTGTATCAGTTTTTTTCAAGCGCTTCTCCACACGGCCAAAAGCTCGATCAGCTGGAAGAAAACTGTGGCCACGAGTCGGAAAGGTTACTTGAATTTTCTGTACATTCTCTGGAGCCTCATTTTTAAGCCAATGGCACAAAACATGAACAATATGAGCATTTTTATTTTGGCCAGCGCAACCATCACAAAACAACGATACTGCGGAAAAAGACGAAAGATCTTGGCGTCTTAAGTGATGAATGAGTGTAGATCTGATTTCATTTGCTCCTCTTCTTCCCTGCGTTTCATTCCACGTATAAAATGTTGGTGGCTTTGAGTCAATAGGTACACAGCAAAATGCATAGAATGCAATTTGTCGGCAATAAAAGGCATCGCCGACTGGAGTTTTAGGGAGTGGATGCACTTGTTGCAAATCAAAAACAAAACTATAAGTATCATTGGGAACTTCCTTCATTAGTTTGTAATGTAAAACGCATCCGCTCTCAGCTTGTGAATACGAAGATCGGTCATTGGATTAATTCTTTCAACTGAGCCGCGAGCGTTTTGTTGAATAAGATATTTAAGACGAGTGCACGTAGCGCATGCGTCTGTAGCTGGAGAGGAAAATCCAATGTTAAAATCGGTTACAAAAATACGGTGAAAACATGAATAGCTCACGTGCAAATCGGCAGTGTAAGCATCCTTAAACATTTTATATAACTTATTTACACTTAACTCTGCTGAAAGGTAAACTCTCTTACTTTTTCCTCTTCCATAATGAGATTCGACACAATTTAGTTTACCAAGAAATTGACGGACTGCTTCCTTTTTGGCTCTGAAAAAAGATTCTCGTCGATAACCACCTCTATTTTCTTTGGGCAGCAGACCTTGATTGACGACCTTTCCAATTCACAGTAGTCGAGAGGCAGGTACACCCATTGAGAAAGCAAAAAACTTTTTACAGACAGGAATCATGCGTTTCTCTTTTTGACTATTAAGAAAAAATTTCACAGAAACCGTTCTTGTGCGAGTTACAAAGACGGGCGCACCACTTCCCCTTCTTCTTTGGGGCTCGAAAGCAGAGATATATTTCATCAAAACAAGATCTTGTTTCTCCCTACTCTCTGCCATGTAGACTGCTTTTCGATTAATTTTTATATCATCGTAGGATACCGTAGCACAACGAAGATTTTTCGAATTATGGGCACACGGTCTGGTCTTCTGTTTTAGAAACACTAAATGAGGATCACTATCGTTGTACTTCATAATTTTTGAACGCCCTCTCTCACTTGTTTTGATGGATCGTCTTTTTTTAGATCCCACCGATAAATTAGCAACGGTATCCATCTCAAAATAACACGCAAAACACAGAAACAACGTCGACATACAACGAACTCACAACATGCACTCTCATCGAACGGAAAAGTACTGATCATAGATAAAATTTATAGATTGGTAACAGGGATAGGCAATGTCAAATCACGTTCGGATTTAGGCGCCCATTCGTTTGGTGGCGCTGCTAGTCTCGTTTCTACGCGTAGGGAGTGTGCTGTGGTCATAGAGAAATGTTATTTCTCTATGGCTGTGGTCAAATCAAAACAAATCAAAAGTTGAATTTAGACAAATACGGCGCCATATTTTTATTTGTTTTATTTTTTATAATTTATTTTATAGTTTAAATTTTTTTATATAAGTAGTGCAAAAAGGTAAAATTTCAGACGATTTTTTATTATGGAATCGAACACATTACATGGAATAACAATATAGTGACGAAGAACCGAACAAAAAAGATGTATTCCAGATTGCATGGATACTAGGCAAGCACACTACCGCTGGCAAGCAATACCGTTTTTCAAGTCCAGGAGATTATAATATGGATATGTTTGATAAATGGGTGAATGCTGTTAAAAGCCCTAATTAGAGAATGCTGCAACAGAAACTATTTATAACAATTTTCGTGAATGCGCTAGTCATTTTAAAGAGGATGATATAATTAATGTTGGACATACCGGTATTACGAGAACAGCCCTTCTGAGTTTGTTTTTACCAGCACCAGGTAAGAACTATTATGCCAATATATGTATGTATGTGACCTTTTACTTATAAAATTAGTTAATTATAAATTTAACCTAATTATAAAATCAGACTTACTTGCTTACTATTTGAATTATTTTGTAGGTGGTGGTTCAACAACTATCTTAAAAAATCATCACCTTAGAGAGGGTTCGACATAATTTCTACAGGTGTGCCTGTTTCAAAGTTGGATTAGATTAGCAGACCATGACTACACTATCATATGGAGAGGTCCATGAGCTTGCCGTTAAGTGCGAGGAGGGATCTGTCTCTCTCTTGTGAGTGAGATTGGTCTTAGAGTACCATATATTATCATGGTTTGTCTCATCTATGTACTTTTGATCAAAAGAACAACCTAAATCTAAATGTATTTAATATGTCTCTCAATAAATATATAAATATTAGTAGAAAAGAGTTACTGGTAAGATAGAGTTTGGAAACGTAACTTTGTAAAATACTTCATATTATTATTGTAACTAGGTAATACTTTACATATTTTTTTATTTTTAATGTTATTTTTCCATCTTTATAGTGCTGGATCTTAGAATCTTAGAGCTAACTGTTGGGTTTATAGGTTTAAATATGACTAAAATATTATCATATAAATGTATATAAAGTTCTTTCTAGAACTAAATCATTTAATTTTTCTGTTTCCAACTTAGCAGAGTTCTTGAGTTCTGTTTTTCTGTGAGTAGAACGCCAGACAGTAAGAGTTCTCACTGACCACTGGTAGTGTGTGTTATTAGATTAGGATGTAAGTACTACAAAGAACTCAGAATGTCTGACAGCTGTCTGTTGCTTATTAGGCTTTAATTTGACATTAGAATTCCAAAAAAATTATTTAATTACTGACAAGTTCTTGTCACAAGATTTAGAACACTAAATTATACTACATTTACCCTTCCCTATTTGTGAACAAAATATTGCAACTATCTTGGTTTATTTTTAGCTCCAGCTGATTTACAGCTAGATTGAAAATCTGAATTTTCCAATCTTGGTTCATAATTATCATCAGGTTTTTGAACAGGTAAATTTTCTGTCACATCTGGCATTGATTTAGTAGTGGAATTCTCTAATGTGTTATTTGGACTTCATCTTCATCATTATCGTGATTCAATAATATAACAATTCAATAGTAAACTTCTTATATAGTACAGAGCTCCTGGTAAAGCAGTTTTTCATTTAGTGATGTCTAAATATTTGGTTTTCAATGCTAGATTCACCAATTTCTATATAACTCATTGTATCTTTCAACTTAACCATTTCCTTCATGGTTATATGGTGTTGTTCTACTTGAAATATTCCTTTAGAGTGGAGATAATTAATAAATTCTTGTGAAGTAAAGCTAGTTCTCCTTGTCAGATTTTATATATGCCAGCATTCTATATAAACAAAATAGTGATTTAATCTGTGATTGGTTTGAATTGCTTTCCTACCAGATAATGTCTGCATTTTTTTAATACTTCAATGCATTTGCATGTTTTCATTCTGAATCTGTGAGAGTATGTGTGAAAAAAGCAATTGGTTTTCCCCATTGATTGCTTTGCTTATGTAATTATAGACTAAATTTATTACAAGCATATACTTATTTTGTCTTCTAGGGATTTATCTTTAGATTCATTGCTTTCTAAAAATATCTTGAATGTTATATACCAATGTTTGAATTCTTTGCAAATTTTGAGAATAAAATTGTAGTAAAAGGCCTTTTGCAGAATTAGGCTTCTATTTACATAAAACTTGACATACTAAGACAAAACAATTATTTAAATACTGACCAGTTCTTGCCACAACATTAAGAAAACTAAATTATAGTACACTTGGCTTGTATTATTAATATTTCTTGTAACACATATAACATTTCTTGTAATATTTTTATAAATAAAGATTTTATTCTATATTTTATTCTTTAATTTTTTGACCACTTTGGCATTTTAATGTAATGTAAAATAAATATAGTCTCAACATAACAAGAAAACCCAAAAAGTATACGAAAAATATTTATTATCGTATAGGATAAGGATTTTTCTTGTTATTTTAAGATTATATCGATTTTCCTTTACTTTAAAATGAGTTCACAATCCTAGGTAATATTACAAAAATTTTGAATTTCGCGCCATGTATTTATAGTTAGGCGCCCGGTCACTAGGTGATGCGCCAATCATTGTTTTACTCGTCAACACGGAAGTTTCAATGCTAGGTGGTAGTGTGCTATGAGTACTGATAATCTCTAATCTCATACAGTGTGGCTACGCTACACACTGTCAGTGCGACCCGTGAGTAATTTTAGAACTAACGAATATTATATTTTGTTTCACGAAACAACATCTGACTCTAGAGGATGCTTTTAAAATCAAACAAAAATAGTAGAGGCATGGTTCTGAGGGTCGGAGGATTTGTGCAGTTTTGTAAAATAAAAACTAATTTTAATGGTTAGCTAAAGAAGGAGATTTTAAGTTTTGTATAAATAAAGACTGAACATGGAGTAAAGGTTTTTAAGTGGATTAATTAAGTTTTGTGGAAGAAACGTGATTTGTAGGCTCATGTTAAATGGGAAATATTGCCTTTTGACACATGAGACTTATACAATTATACACAAGATCTAAGGCAGACCAAACTCTCGAAATTCAACAAAAAATGTATTTTAGCCGGAAATGGATTTATGCAGTTTTGTAAAAAAGCTCCTCATATATTAAGAGCTGTAAGTCTTTACAGATGGGGAGCCGATCCAGAAACGTCCCTGTTATTATATGGGTCATGGGTAAATAAATACCTAAGATTGTCCCTTACTTTAAAAGTTCACCAGTTTCAAATAGTCATGTAGAATGTTGCAAAATGCATTTACAGCTTACAGAAGAAAATATCTTGTGGAAAATTTTATATCTAAAGATATTAGTCTAGTTAGTTAAGTTCACAACCTATTTATAATGGATTTAACCAATAAGTATAGGGTTAAAGGAACCACTGGTTATATACAGGGTGGTCCTTAGTAATTGTACAAAAAGAAACCACAGATTATATACTTTAAAATATTACGATTTAAGCCAACTTGCTTTAATAAAATGTTGATATTAAAAAAGATACAGGGTGTTAAAGTGGAAATTTAAAATTTTATTTTTCGCTATAACTTTCATGTTTGTAAAGATTTATATACAAAAATTTACAGCTGGGTACTATTTAATATCTGAAATTATAATTTGATGAATACTTTGATATAGCTAATAGAGGGCGCCACATACGTGGCATAAATTTGCACTTAACTTTTTTGTTCTTTAAGTTACCGGTATTTAAAATAAAAAATATTAAAGATACATTATTTTAACAAAAAAAGGTATACTTGTTAATAACTTCAAAACTCAATAGTTTTCGAGATAATCGCATTTTACAAATCAACTGCATAATTCTGATTTAACGCAATTACTCCAGGCAATGGAAGAAAAATAGATAAAAACATCGATACTTCTGAATTTTGTTATAAAATACCTTAATGAAGTCAATAATTAACGAAATATTAAATAAAATAAATATATCAGCAGGATAATTAATAATAGGATTTGATAAAATAACAGAATAATTGGATTTTACATCAAACATTTTATTTTAATTTAATACAAATTAAAATAAAATGTTTGATGTAAAATCCAGTTATTCTGTTATTTTATCAAATCCTATTATTAATTATCCTGCTGATATATTTATTTTATTTAATAATTCATTAACTATTAACTTTATTAAAGGTATTTTATACCAAAATTCAGAAGTATTGATGTTTTTCTTTAATTTTCTTTCATTGCCTGGAGTAATTGCGATAAATCAGAATTATGTAGTTGATTTCTAAATTGCGATTATCTCGAAAACTGTTGAGTTTTGAAGGTATTAACAAGTATACCTTTTTTTTGTTAAAATAACGTATCTTTAATATTTTTTATTAAAAATATCGGTAACTTAAAGAGCAAAAAAGTTACGAGCAAATGTATGCCACATATGTGGCGTCCTCTATCAGCTACATCAAAGTATACATCAAATTATAATTACTGATATTTAATAGTACCCAGTTGTAAATTTTTATACATAAATGTTGACAAACATAAAAGTTATAGCGAAAAATAAAATTTTAAATTTCCACTTTAACACCCTGTATCTTTCTTAATATCAACATTTTATTAAATCAACTTGACTTAAATCGTAATATTTTAAAGTGTACAATCTACGGTTTCTTTTTGTACAATTACTTAAGGACCACCCTATATATATATATATATATATTATATATATATATATATATATATATATATAATACATGTATGTAAATTCTTACATAAGTATAAAATATTACACAACAAATAAGAATAATACAAAACAAAAAAGTTGTGGACAGAGTAGAATAATGTAAAATGAATCTTAGAATTACCACTCACTGTATATATACTATCAATAATCAAAACTCACCTTTTCACTCCTTTCGGCTGTAAAATTTCTTCATCTGAAGAATTTTCAATTTCAGCTTTCCTTAAAATGGCTCTTCCTCTTCAGTTTTTTCTTCATAAAGAATTTCATTCCATAACTTTTGCAGACGTTCCAAATTTTTTTCGTAATTATCACTCACTATGTATCAAAATGTACTCTCACTGACGCTAAATGTATAACTATGAATCAAGCATAAAAAACAGGTTAGACTTGCAACGATGCGAAAACCGACTTATGAGTCACACGGCCGAAACCGTGCATACGCTCCGTGTACCAAATGTTGGTTCTCAATTTCAAAATGGCGTTTTCATAAAATATTACAAACATTTATTTAAAAAATTAAGTTAATTATGATATTCTATGACTAATTTAAAAACAACGGATTGTCCTCGAGAGAAGAATTTATACTACACTATTTGTTGGTTGACGTGTTAATATTGTAAAACTTAAGACACTAAACATATCTCTATCCATTCACTTATTATAAAGTGCATAACTGAGTTACACCCGTCATAAAGAGTAACTCTAACAACCATAATGCTTGTAGCTCATAATCACACATCAAATATTTATTTCCTTTTCAGTTTCCCCCAAAAAGTGCCAAGATATTCTCTCAACAGGAAACAAAGAAAAACATGGAATTTTTCTGCAAAATATATCTGCGAAATCTACCAGTAATCAGATTTGTTTCTGTCCCTAACTTTGCATTCTACTTTCATTATGAAGTAGAACAAATTCAACTTACGAGGGAAAGAAAAAAAGAGAAGGGAGCAAAAAAGAAAAGAAACAAAAGTAAAACAAGGAAGGGAAAGAAAAAACGTAAATAACATATTAACATATTATGTAACTAACTGTATTTAATTATAATTAAAAACAATAATATCTTAACAAAAGTATAAAATTATTTATCATCTACCCCTAACTGTTTGATTCTCTCTTCTAAATTAGAAACTAAGGTGGTTTGATGTGCATTTAAATCACTGACTAGTTGACTTCCCATTCTATTCATAGTTTGAACAAGTTCTGCTTGAGCTGTTTCTACATTTGGAATCTTACTGTACTTTAGAAGATCATCTTTGCTGATTAGTCTGTTTTCCAAAATTGCAGCTGAAATAAACAAAAAGTTTAAAAAAAGTTTTCGGAATATATAAAAAGACAGATATTTTTTAAAATATAATTTATTTTTAAACACGAATTCATTTGAGATAATGCTTTTTTCATCTTAAGTATTTCTTTCATTGTGTAACAACATAAATAACCTTTTGACAAACTGTAACAATATATGTTAGCAGTTACTTGATGGACATTCATGTTCAATAATAAAACAAAAAATAAAAATACAGTATTGTTTATTTCTACATTCTTCTTTCTTAAAATTGTCACTTTCCATGAAAGGTCAGAAAATAAAGCTATATAGATTACCCCAGATGAGTAAGGTTCAAAACCCAGAATCTCACAATGATCTATCAGTCTGTCCCACGGATTTTAAGGGGGACCAAATTCTGGCAACCTGAGAAAACCAGAAAGCGATTTATAATTAAAGTTGCAACATCTATCGCTAGATCCTTGATGTCAGAAGACAGATTGCTGGAATTGGAAAACGAGCTAGAGAACATTAAATGGGACGTAGTCAGACTAAGTATAGTAAGAAGACAAGGAGAGTCTCTCGAAACACTAAACTTTGGTGACTTATTTTGTTATATGAACACATATCTGTAGAAGAAATAGGCATCATAAGGCACAATAAACTTTCCAAAAATGTGGTACTAGTAAAAGCAATATCTGAGAGAGTAATATAAAGTGCTTTTCAGATAAAACTATCCACCTTAAATAATTTTTGAACATCGAATTTTTTGGAAAAACGCAACAACACATCAATTAATATTTGAAAGGGAGACATTATATCATATTTAAGGTTGCTGGGAAATGCACCCTCTCACCCCCTGTATCAACCCTTTATTTTTTGTAAATTACTTCCCCCTTTTTTATTTTATATTTGGATTCTCCTTTTTGTACCGATTTCAAAACTGTATAATACCTTTGGCTTGAAGTGATTAGTTTATGAGATACCAAATTTTCCTGTTAAACAAGATAGTATCTCTCTCATCTTAATTGAATGTAACAAAATAGGTTGTAGCATAATTTAAACTTTTTAAATATTTAACCGTACTATTTGTAGTACACTCAAAAACCAAGAAACAAAAAAATTCACTTTTTATGAAAGTTTTATTACGGGTTTTCGATATTACGTTTGCATTTGTTTTAATTGGTTAATAGCCAACAACAATTTGTTAACTTATAAGTAACAGCCTATTTTGATACATGTGTAATTTGGTAGCTGAAATGGTGTACACCTTCCAAGAAAGAATCGAAATTGTAGGTTTATACTACAAAAATAATAATTGTGCCAGAACTGCTGCTAGAATTTTTAATGAAACACACCACAATAGACATGCAACTCATAAGTATGTGATTGAACTAATGCAGAAATTTAGAGCAAGAGGGTCAGTTTGCAATAACTTAGAGGCTTAACAATCACAGTCACTGTCAACAATAAACAGAGCAATCAATGTTTCATCATCTACAGCGTTCTGAGTCCTCCATAAATTTAAGTTTCATCCATATAAAATTAAATTAGTACAAGAGTTAAATGAAGATTTTGATCGTCGTCCTGAATTTTGTGAATTAATGATACCATGCATCATTAACAATCCACAATTGTTAAACAATATTTGCATCTCACATGAATGCTCATTCTCATTAAACGGTTTGGTTAACAGATATAATTGCAGATACTGGGCTGAGGGTGATCCACATATTGTACGCGAATTTCACACACAGCATCCTCAAAGGTTAAACGTATGGTGTGGATCCTACGTGATTACATTATCGGACTCTTCTTTATCACTGGAAACTTAAATGGTGCATCGTATCTTGAGTTCTTTAGGCAAGTGGTTGATCGTATTAGAACAATAGTAGAAAATGATAACCTCTCCGAAGATTTTGGTTGTATTTCAATATGATGGAGCTTCTCCACACTTTGCTTTACCTGTGCGATAATTTTTAAATGAAACGTTTCCCAGTCCTTGGATAGGTAAAAGACGACAGATGATGGATTGGCCACCTAGGTCACCGGATTGAACACCCCTAGACTTCTTCTTATGGGGGTATTTAAAAACAAAAATTTATGCTACTCAATCAGAATCTCTAGATGATTTACGACAAGGAATAGAGGATGAATGTCGACATGTAAATGCAGACGTGTTAAGCAATGTCAGAGAAGAATTTCAAAATAGATTGGACCATTGTATGGAAGTGAAGGGCAGTCATTTTTAACAATTATTGTAAACATTTTTATTAGTGAAATGTTCATTCTACATGTGTGTAATAAAACTGTTAAAAAATATTTTTTTTCAATCCAATTTTCTTGCTTTTGTATTTATTTTTCTCATAAACTAATCACTCCAAGCATCATGTATTATACATTTCTGAAAAAAGTACAAAGAGGAAAATCCAAATATCAAATAAAATAAGGCGGAAGTAATTTAAAAAAAATAAAGGGATAATATAGGGGGTGAAAGAGTGCTTTTCTCAGCAACCTTAAATATGATATAATGTCTCCCCCTTCAAATATTAATTTTTCTTAGTTTTATTAGTTTTTCCTAAAAATTAAAAGTTCAAAGGTTATTTAAGAAGGATAGTTTTATCTGAAAAGCACTGTATATATAAATATACAGTTAACCAAAAGATGTACCACTAAGTTCAAATAAGTCTACTCACCAACAACAACTAATTGTGACAAAGAGGTAGAACAATTTTACGAAGATGTGTTCAGTGCCATAAGAGAGAAGAAAATTTAGTCAGTTAGTTCGCTTGGATCCGAATCCATTTTAGTTCTTTCATTCTTGTATTTTCTTTATCAACTTGCTTAGTTTTTGCAGTTTACAGCATTCTTATTTATTTTGAAAACATTGAAATTATTTAGTTTACGGGTATGTTTAAGTAATATATTATTAGTTTAGTGGTATAAGTTAAAAGTTCTTTAGTTTACGCGTATTTTGAGTATTACATTAGGTTAGTGATATAAGTTATAAGAGACAAGATAAAAAATGAGTCCCAGTAAACGTCCTAGGTCAAGGAAAAGGAGAGCAATTGCACTACAGTAAGTATTTATTATTTATATATTTACAACCGTTATTAAAAGCTTTTATTTAACTTAAACCTCTACTTTACCTAGTTGTAGTGTCGATTCGTAAGTAACCCTTTTTACTTTTTTTTTATTTACTTACCGTAAACTAAGTAAATAAAGGGTTCATGACCTTACATATTATTTGTTTATGGTCAAAATATTGCCAATGTTTTACTCTTAAATAATAATAATAACAAATAATATAATTTGCAGTACATACTTTAAATTTTTTCGTTATTTCTAGTAATAGCTGTCATTCTCAGTCAGTTGAGATTGCCTCTCTGCAAAAACCATCTTTTTCGGTAGAAGGCAGAAGAATAGTGGACATAAACATTTTCATTAAATCTATTCAAGGTTTGAATAATCATTCTCCATTTTCATGCAACTTTTCTAATATGGAGATTATCAAAGAAAAAATGGACTGATTGATAAGTACATTGAGTTTTAAATGTCAAATGTGCAATATTGAAAAGGAGATAGCAACATAGGATTACATTCTGGTAACAATTCACTGAACTTGAATGGTTCTGGTTATTATACAGCATATAGCAGCAGCACGCTGCATTAAATATACCTGTGATGTCCTACAGGCAGTATGCAAAACATACGGAGACAGTTGCAGATATCATCGGCCAAACACTTTGTGATTCCATAGAGAGGCTGGACGGGAGGAATTAGCTTTAGCCAAAGAAATTGGTGAAGTAGATTCCGACGGAAATGGGTTAATAACCGTTATAGCTGATGGTGCTTGGTTAAAAAGATCGTATAAAATAAACTACGATGCTTCTTCAGGTGTAGTACCTGACGTTGTAAAATTTATTAAATTAGTACGCCTTTAATGGATAGGACATGTAATTAGGCGAGATGAAGATGAAACGATCAGAAAAAATTTCGACCGAAGAGGACCAGTGGGAAGACGATCCAGAGTAAGACCAAAACTTAAGTATCAAGATATCATAGAGGATGATCTAAAATCCATTGGAGTTAGAGCTTGGGGAAGAGGTGCCAAAGACAGGGGCGAATGGAAGATTGTTCTGAAGAAGGATTTGGCTCATGACGAGCTGTAATGCCACCGATGATGATGAAATAACTATCCACGATTTGTGTTTTATTCATAAATTGGATACTTTTCTTATGTAACTGCAATCTATAAATATGTCGCGTGCGTCGCCTCGAAATACTTGCCAGATAAATACATTTACTATTATGATGGTTTCGCAGGTACCAATTTTTTATAGATAAATAAAAATATTTTTTGTTTAATTTTTACTACGCTAATATCAGTTTTCTCTAACAAATAAATAACTTCTTGAAATAATTTTCAAGCTATAACTGCGAAATTGTTTATTTGTTTGTGAGATTAAATTGTAATTTTTTTGATAATAATATTTTTATGTTATTTTAAATTTATTATAAATAAACACCATAGTGTTTTTTGCAGTCACGTTTCACAAATTTTTATTCAATACTATGTTTAGCTAAAACATATAAATTAAAAATGTGATTAATTCTTTTTAAAACATTATCTACGATAATCAATCTAAAAAAAGTATTCCGAAAAAACTAATTTGAATGGAGAATAATGCATTTATTGTCAATAAACAACCCGTGGGCCGGCGCCACTGAATAAACATCGAAACTGCAGATTTCAAATTAGGAAGTCACGTAGGGTCTGACATAAGCAGTGTAGAAAAGTAAGTGATACGCCCACTTCAAATCGCAGTATGTTTAACTGCGAAAACAGCCTTAAACTAAAATATTATGGGTACACTAAAGTACATTATTAATTAAGAGTACATTAAGTACATTAAGACTTATTTCAAATCACCAGCTTAGAAAAACCTGCTATTTAGGAAAAAAAATTATTGGATTATTATTTAAGTGCCCAATTTTATTAACATAAAGTCTTTTCTGTTTA